AACCTTACAAAAAATGAATTAAATTTGATTGGGTAAGGAAACGACCAAAATACCCCTCACTATTTCCGGCTAACTTTTCTTAATTGGATATCCTAACTTCAAAAGGTCATATCTCACTCATCCGACCTCTAAACTTAGCAAACTCAGCGGCGTTGGAAAGATAATTTAAAGTTCTTTCCTACGGTATCTGGTATCACACCTAACTCATCTTGAGCTAGAAGTTATGGTCGTTTGAAGTCGACCCAAAACTCATACTTAAGCATAACTTGCAAAATTTCAGATTTTGCTATTTCCAATTTAATTCTTTTTGAAACTCAAGGTGTTACATCTAGTGACCTTAACACTCAAGAAATTTTTAATTCCTTGGTAAAATCTCACTCACTACGAAGAACGGTTCGAGTCTTAGTTCAAAAAAAATTCTGGGATATTACATATAGCCCATCATCCCACTAACCCATTTTTAAAGTCCAAACATATTATCGTACTTGTGTCTGAAGTTTGTAGCTTTTGGAGGATAGAACACATAAAACTGTATTTTAATAGTATCCGAGCAACATATATAGCCTATCATCCCACTAACCCATTTTTAAAGTCCAAACATGTTGTCGTATTTGTGTCTGAAGTTCATAGCTTTTGGAGGGTTGAACACACGAAATTGTATTTCAAAAGTGTTTGAGCAACATATATAGCCTATGATCCAACTAACCCACTTTTAAAGTCCAATCATGTTGTGGTACTTGAGTCTGAAGTTTATAACTTTTGGAGGATTGAACACATAAAACTGTATTTTAAAAGTATTCGAGCAATATAGCCTATAAGTCCACTAACCCATTTTTTAAATCTTTCTCTAACTATATATGAGTATTTGCTCAAGTGTGTGAAAGATTAAATGGTTAGAGAGGTTATATTGAATTTTTAGATTAGATGGTTACATAATTTAATTAACGTGGTATCAGAGGCGTGCGTGGCTGAAGTTAATTCCTAACATAATTTGTCTGTACGTAATTAATCAACAATTTAATATTTTGGATGAGATAATTACATAGTTCAATAATACTGATCTATTATTTATATGTGTGTAGGAAAACAGCACCACCAATGTCATTCTTGATTTGCTTCAAGATTTTCATGCTCTCTCTATGTGGGTAAGTTATGAGTTAATTCTATTCTACACTCACATTTAGCGGTAACTTATTTTCCTTTTATCAGTAATATTTATTGTTACAAAAATATTTAGCGATAGTTGAGCTACTGTCATTATATTCAGAGTCACTAAAACTTTAATATCTATGTGTATAATGAAATTGGTGTTTTATCAGGGTTACATTGAGCTTGAATATTTCTGGAGTGGCACTTAAATACACTTCAGCAACTTTGGCTGCTGCAACTACTAACAGCCTTCCAGTTACTACTTTTCTCCTTGCAATTTTACTTAGGTATGTGTTTTTTTTAAAATTCTTTTTATTTAATATCATCCACTCAGATTTTCACCGTTTGACGGACCCTACCATATATGTATATAGATATATAAGTAAAAGTTCAATGAGGGAAGCATAAAGTACCTGATTTCTAGGCTTTCACCTTTTGTGGTGATATGAGGTTTTGACGAACTCCTATTATATATATAAATATAAAAAAAAATATAATATAGGGGACATAAACCTGACCTCCAAATTAAAATGGTACACTAAGTTACAAATGTCTAGTGCTCTTATTTAGTACCTTACTATAGTTAACTCTTAACTTAAAAACATTAATTTATATATATATATATATATATATATATATATATATAAACA